AGAATATTTTTGAAGTCTGGAATAGATTTTATGACTTGCATAAGACCAGGTGACAGGACTGGAACAAGCTGTATATATTGCAATTGGACAGAAGGATAGACAATGTATTAAGTAGGCTAATTGTTAAGGGTTGAGACTAGCTGTATATAATGTGAATGTATTGCCACTCCGACTTCGCAGTACTGCATTGTTTTAAATGTAAAAATAATAAAAATATATTGGGGGGGGAAAGGTTAGCCATCACTGGGCCACATAATTTTGGAGATAAGTACCTTATTCATAGTAAGGATGTTAAAGCATCTTTGATGCATTCTCATCCCCTAAGGTCAGACACAATTGGATTCCTGTTCCTGGGCACAGAGAATGCCACTGCGGGATGTATCCTTGGAGATAACTCCCCTTTCCCTTCTCTAACAGCATGACATACAAACATTCGTTGGAGACATTCGATAGGATGATAGCTTGTGTTTTGTTTGCTGAGATCCGAATTTAAGGGCACCATGTGATTCAGACGAGTGACTTTGGGAAGTGTTAAGTCAGAATCTCTGGATGTTTCAGCATTAGATTTCATACAGTAGCAGGAAGCAATCGGATTCCTGCTTTATTTGACAGTAGAAAGGAATCCGATCCATTAAAGCAAAGCCCAGATCAAAAGTCGTAGTTGAAAAGAACGCAAGGCGAGGGTATTAAACTGTATCTCGAGAAAGACATTGTGTTAATCGACTTCAAAACAGGATGTTGCATTTCCATTGCAGCAACATGCTTAAAAACCATAAAATGCAATGGTATTATCTTAAAACTTTTTGTTTTCCTTGATTGGTTTCAGTTAAGCTGTTACACTTCACAACAGAGGAGTACGTGGCTGTATTAAATACGAATTTGGAGTTGCATGTGAATCTTCTTAAAATGGCAGTGCAAAGCTATTTTAAGCCCTTTATCTATAGGGCCTAATGAAAGCAGTCTGGTACTTATGCCTTCATCGGCTGATAATCTTTCATAGTTGAATAGAAAGAATCTCATTTTTCCCCCTTTTCATTCTTCGACGTTTGCTTGGTATCCAGTGGTATTATTTCTCTATAGATCTTGCTCAGGATTTTATCAGACCAAAAATAATAAACTATTCAAACTTGTCTCAAGATATTTTAATAGTGTTGTACCGATGCTGTCAGGTGCTCCTTCGTTTAATAATCAAGAAAGAAATCACTCAACTCCATGCNGCTGGACATTTATGGGTGAGCAACAAGCTTTTCGGAATCCTGTTTCTCCACCCTTTTGCTTGTATTTGCTTGGATCAATCTGGCATTCCCACGTACGCACCAAAGG